ACGGAGGGGTATTATTGTAACCTCACTCTAAATTTTAATTTCAATTTGGTCCCTTGGTCATACAGTGAAATTTCAGAAAGTTTTGGTCCTTGACTATTATAAATTGCCTTCTGTAGTCCTTCACTGAAATTTTCCCTTTTTATTATCCTATTGTTTTCTTAATTCTGACAACTATGGCTTGGGCATCTGGAGTCCTCCCTGCGGTGATTGTTATTTTTTGCTAGCTGGGAAAACGGGCCGACCCTGTAAGATCGACGAGCTTAAAAAGGCCAATCTTACAGGATTAAAATTTTAAAAATACCCTAATTTGGTAGACCAGACTTTTAAGATGATAGGCTTAGGTCGGCCTACAGGCTTTCAGCCTGTTTAAAAAAAAAACTATTTTTCATATTTTTCACATTTTTAATCAAAAAATAAAAACAAACCAATGAAATTATTAATACAAGACATAATTATTAATAAAATTAAGTCACAAATGCAAAATATTATTATATCTAAATATCCATCAACATCTAAAACATCTATCAATAAAACAACAACATCTAAAAGTTTCATCAATAATGTAAATGTGCAATTGACAAACATTATCGTTAAATTTTTTAAAACTTCATCATCACTATAATCAATTGCTCTTCTTTTGTGGTAAAAGTATCAAGTTTTTCTTCTTTATAAGAATCTCACTTTTAAGCAGTTTAGCTATTATTTTACTTTAATTTGAGAAGCATTATTGTTGAAACTCATAAATTTCTAATTCAAATTATAGAATCACAAGTTATATAAGTATAAAAATACTCTCTTATCAAATATATATAGTTTTAAAATATCAACAAATATAATATAAATCAAATCATTATTAAAGTCCAAATTAACCCATTTTTTACAATTTAATTGGACAAATTATTGTCTAAAACCAAATAAATCAAACTATTCTGTGAAGTTTAATTTCAAAATGATAAAAATAACTAAATATTCAAAACATCATTAACAATGTAAAAAAATTAATAATATTATAATTGCACAAAAGTTTTTTGAAAAAAATATAAAATGGCATAAATTGGTAGCCCGTTTAAGCCCTCAGTTCCCATTTAAAAGGAAAAATTACAAGTTTAACCCTCATAATTTTTGGGTCTAAATGAGCTATCCCGACGGGCTCAACCCATTTTGTGGCTCCACCTTTTGGTCTCTAAATCTCCTGGGGGCTAAACTTAATAAAACCACCATTACTTGGGCCATTTTCTGGAACCTTGTGGTCTTGACTGTTTCATACTATTTAAGCAACTTTGGATAGGCTTTTGAGCTGGCTTTTCAGAAATTAAATGAAACTATCATTTGTACCCAAAAAAAAACCAAATAAATGAATCCATCATTGTTGAGATTTTGAGCAAAACTGCAGAGAAATTTATGGGGCTTATATCAATTTACTTAGTCCCTCCCTTGTAACATGACAAACTAGGATTCAATTTCTCACTTAGAGAGGTACTCCCTCCCTCGTAACATGACAAACTAGGATTCAATTTCTCACTTAGAGAGGTACCTACATGTAATATCTGATAATGACTTGAACATGATTAACTCTAATATGAAGATATCTGTGCTTAGCCAAAAAAAAAAATATCAATGAGAGTTTAGTCTAGTGGAAGAAGCTAATCCCTTATAATGTTATGAATCAATTTTCAAATCCCTGTTAGGAGATATGCTTACGTCTAGTACCGTATAATGCCTGGAATAGGATTGTTTCCAATATGATGATAAAATTAACATAGATTTATGACGAGCTACGATGCTTTAATATACTATCCTCTACAAACTGACGTGAAAAAACTCGCTCTGCTTGATATAAAAATCCTCCTTGCGGTGGTGACATTAATTAAGGTGGCCCCGAGTTCCTTTTTCTTGGCCAGCACCCCCAGTTGCTAAAAATGATCATCCGAGTGGTATCATGCTATCATTCTGTATGGAAGAACATTGAAGGGTTCTGTACTTGGAGGCCCATCTCTGATCTTCCTTTTATAGCTAACAAGTGTCGCACAGAGGCTAGTATCTAAAATAAATTTTGGGCAAATTCTCTTTCATTTTAGCCTGATACACAATGAATTGAAAATAGAGTAAATAAACTGCAATGTTTTTAAAAGAATTTGAAAAATGATTGAAACGAACAATTAATTCTTATGCCTTCGCCAGTCTTTTATTTGTTCCTCGCCTCTGTCTCTGCCCTAAACCATTCTCTGCGATTAACAATTAATCAATGAATCTTCTTGTCATTTTCAATCATCGTTCTTGGTCATTGTTATTTGTGGAGTGGCTTTTTGTATTTTAAAAATAAAAATTAAATTGGTTTATAGCGTTTCTCAGGCAAAATTAGATCTGTTGGTTGCTATATTACAATATTCCTCTACTACTACATTATTGGTATACCCTTACGACTAACCGAATCAGTTATGAAGGAATGCAAAAGAAAAAAATGATTGGTTTCCTTATTTCTGTTTGTACTTTATCGAATGCAGAAGACATGAATCAAAAGTTGATTGCCTATTTTATATTAAATACGAACAATTCAAATTTCTTAATGTGCAATTATTAAAATAAAAATTCATAAATTAACCATCCATTTGTTTTGCTTTTGATTGTACAACGTAAATCATAAATCATATGGATACCTTGCTTATCTCCTAGAAGATGTATGGAAATTAAGGCCTTATTTGATTTTGTTTTTAGCTTTTATGATTTTAGAATAGTTTTATAAAATTGTTTTTTGAAATAAATTTTGAGAAAAAAGTTAGATTGAATTATTGTTCTGAAAAAAAAAATCGTACGTATTTGAGAAGACAGAGAATGAAGAGCAAAGCTCCGATAATTATTCAACTCCTACATTTAAAATCAGACAGATTATAATATGAATTACTGAAAAAGAAACGAATTGATGATTCAATGGAAAAGCATGCATATGTTGGATGCAAAACATGCTTTGCTGGTTAGATGGGGTAAATTCTTGGCAAGTTGGCAAAAAAGAAATCTTAGTATAGCTTTTTGTGGGGGCCAAAGCAAATTAAAAGAACGAGCAGTGAGCGCATTTCATGAATTCCTTTATCTTTATCTTTCTTTTTCTTTTTAAACTCAATTATACACGCAAATATTGCTTCTGTGGAGGCCGAATCAAAGAACGAGTGATAAGTGCATTTCATTATTGTTACTTTTTTCATTTTTCAACGCAATTGTATACATAGTTGCTTGTTATAAAATAATTAAAATATACGTAAGGATGAATACAAACTAAATATTCAACTGATAATGTTTAAATTAAAAAAGTTACTTTTTGAAAAAATAGCAATACAAAAATATCTTTATTTTACATTCTCCCTAAAATTTGGCTATACCTCACCCTCTTACTATATATCACTATGTATTAATTCCATTTATTCCGCAGTTCATAGGTGTTTCATAAGCCATGCATTATCCAACTCTTAACTTAGTGGAAAGAAGCAGCTATTAAGGAAATAATAACTATTAGGTAAGGAGTAGACGCTTTCGAGATCCGAAAGGTCTCTCTCTCTATATATATATATAAATTAGAAAGGAGGTCTGAGTAATGAGCAAACAAGAAGGATATATAATTTGGGTATTTTTTTACTCAAATTGGCACTAATAATAAAACGATTGCTTGTAGATGGAGGAAAGGATAAAGTTAGAAGAATTTTACAGTTAACTCAAGACTTTTTTGCGAGCGCGCACACGTATATAGATATATATATGTTGGCGGTGTGATGATGAACTCAAATGTACGCATAGTTTTTGTGAAGATTAATCGCTGAAGCAGACCAAAGGTCAAGTTGGTAAGTGCATTTGATTCTTAGTTATATCTTAATTAATGCAATATATATGGATTCATATTTTTTGGAGTACATATAGTGATACTTGTGCGACTCATTTAATTTGATGGTTACAAAATAATAATGTAGGGATTGAGTTCACCATATATAGCTACTAGCCAAAATGCGTGCATCCGCTCCTCCTAAGCAGTTTTATATACCACAAGGTCAGGTCACTCTATACAAAACTCAATCTTTATATTACTGAACCTTCATTTTTCAGCAGCGAATGGCCTATATAAATAATTAACTAATTTGATCATAATATATGTTTAGTCTTATAGCTGAGTCATGTCAAGAGATTACAACTAGCAATTCAGAAAATCTTTCTTCTTCTTGTTTATTTATTTTATTTTTTCAACGGGGGGACACATAATATTTTTTTATCAAATTATTTTACAATATTCTAAATATAGAAAGATTGCTCGCTAGTTTTATTAGTCAGTTATATGTTTAGGGCTCGTTTGTTTAATCTCTCTTTTTAAAAAAAGGTTTTTTTTTCCCAAAAGGATACTTTTGAAAAATATTATGATCTGATTTTCAAATTATTTAAAAGAGTAATGGTTGCTTAGCTCAACCATTTTCTTTTGAGTAATGGTTCACAAGAAAGCACTATCTTAAATAGCAGGGAAAAAAACTTTTAAAAAAAAAAATTGAACAAACGTATTCTAAACTCTTAAAAATAATTAAAACCTAAAAAAATTACTAATTATTTTAAGTAGTTTATGAAAATAATAAAAAATAACAGTTGTCATAAAAGAAAAGAAATACCCAAATATATTATTAAATTTAAAAATGAATAAGTAATATATTAACTTTATGAATTTAACCAAATGCAAAATTATTTCTACATTTTATAAAATCTGCAGAATAATATATTACTTTCCATAAAATTTCTAAATCAGACAAAAACCACTTTCTTTTTAAAAAAAAACGCATGAACAAACCATCGCATGTCTTTGGTTATACAATTAATAGATGGATCCCCTCATATCACCCTAGAAACCGGGAAAGAGGACCAGGATACATCTAACACACACAAGCCGCCAATATCTCTCTGTGTTTCTTTTCCCCATCACTAGACCCTCCATAAATATTGCAGATTACTATCAAATTAGGAAAGAAGCAGATAAGATGGCACGGTCGCTTGGTATAAGGCGAGATAGAGAATATTGGCTAAATCAAATATTGATAGAAATACAGATGAACGGAGTGAGTAAATTGGGAGAGATAAGGGAAGATATACAACGACGAATTGGAGAACAAAGAAGCACGGCGACCGAGGATGAAGAGAGACACGCAAGGGAGATTGCTGAAAATGATAGATTGTACAAAGCTATATGTGATAACAAATGGGAAATTGCAAAAGCATTGTTAGAGGAAAAGCCAAATGCCTTAACCTCAAAGATTACTGCTTCAGGCAAAACACCATTTCATGTGGCTGCCTTGTTTGGTCATGCCAACATAATGGAAGAGTTGCTGAAACTGTTAGAGGATCCAGAATTCCTAGAAACTGTTGATGATATTGGCTCCACGCCACTCTTAATTGCCAGTGTCACCGGAATCACTCAGGTTGCCAAATGCCTAGTGGACAAGAATCCCTACCTACTGGCCATTCCAAGCTACTTAACATGCGAACTTCCGGTTACATCGGCTTTTCGCAGTGGTCATCATGAAATGGGACGTTATCTTTATTCTCAAACTCCATTGGAATACCTCCAACCCCGCTATTTTGGTCATCCTCTTGGCCCTACTCTTCTTCGTTATTGTTTGCAAACACAATGTTTCGGTACGTAATATCTATAATATAATAACTACCTATTAATAACTTTATATTAAATAAAAGGAATTTAGCTAAAACTAGTTAATACTTTTAAATTTTCTAAATTATCTCAATTAGAGTGGGTTTTTTAGTTGATCAAAACAAAAGGATAAAAGGTTGTTATAATTATTGTTTCCTCATTTAATATATATTATTTATTGTGTGAATATGATACTCAGACATCGCTCACCACTTGCTTAGTCAATGCCAAGAATTGCTTTTTGCGTCTGATTTCAAAGCTTGGGAGCCAATTCACAGCATCGCAACCATTACTTCCACAATTCCTAGCCCAACAGAACTTGTCTTCTGGAAACGATGGATCTATGACTGTTAGTATCTCTTCTTAAATATTTCTAATAACTTGATTTTCTTTCTTATCATACTATTATATTTACTCTCTCTTTTTTTTCATTGGTTTGTATTATATGCTCTCATTTGCTAGATATAGATACAAATTCAACCCCAAGTTTCCAAAGTGCTTTTTTGCCCATCCAAAATGAAGCCGAAGACACAAGGGAAAGAAAACAGGGGAAACTAACAGGGCCAGGTAGCAAAATATGTCTTTTTTTTATTTCCTTCTTTGTGTGATCAACTTCATTTTTAATTAAAATTCTTATAGAAAAGACATGAAACAAAAACATTGTTTGAACCTTTTCCTTTATATAAGCTGAGCTTTCCTTTAATTTCTTCCTTTTTCCGTTTTTTCTTTTTAAGTTGCAGCAGGACATCATTTGCTTCGATGGCTCATCTTCTCTACTTATAATTTTATAGGTAGGCGTATCTTCTAGCTAACATATCACGCTTCCAAAAATTACATAATATTCTAAAGTTTTTAATTATTAGATAGGCCCTGTATATTGTATGCAGCATTATTTATGACACATAAATAGTATAACTTGTTATAAATTTTATGTTTGATATTAACGATTATTATTGAATTTATTGATATATATATACTGACATAGATTCTCATCAACTCAGCTAACAAAAAAAGATTACGTCTCATTGTAGGAATCAAGAAAATAAAAGAGATGAAGTTACAGCAAGCACAAGCAAATGAACTTGTTGATCTACTTTGTAGGAATGCAAGCAAAAGAGATGGAAATATCACAAGTGCGTTATTTGTGGCAGCGAAAGAAGGGAATGTTGAGTTTGTGGTTAAAGTATCAAATGCAAATCCTGAAATCTTGCTCACCGTGGACAACTCACGTCAAAGCATTTTCTACCATGCCATTGAGCATCGACAAGCTAGGGTTTTCAACCTTATCCATGGGCTTCGCTTCAAGGATGTCTTTGCTTGTAGCAAAGATAATAATGGAAATACTTTGCTGCATGCGGCAGCTGCAAAGGCTCCTGACATCATTCTTAACCGCATCTATGGACCGGCATTACAAATGCAGAGAGAGCTGCAATGGTTCAAGGTTAGTTTTGAAATTCTCGTGAGAGATAGGTTATTGGTCATGTGAAATTCCACACCAGTGCTTTTTTAATATCGAATTGGTAATTAAATCAGTGAAATTATTGATTAATTTAAGGTTCACTGAAACAAAAACACATGCATTGATTTTCCTTTTTCTTTAATTTCTGTCATTCTCTAAAACAGTCAATTGATTGTATATATACTCCTCCGGTCATAAATGTAGGACCCATTTTATAGTGTAAATTGCACTACAAAATATCTCTACTGGAGGAGTATATATGTATATAGTGTCTGATTTTGCTTAGAATGTGAAATACAATGCCTCTGTTGGCATTTAAATTTGAATTAACACCACTTGGAATAAATGCAGGAGGTTGAGAGCATAACGCCTTCAAGCTTTAGGGTACTTCAAAACAATGAAGGTATGACAGCTGAAGCATCATTTAGACAGCATCACAGAGAATTAATGAAGCAAGGAGAAGAATGGATAAAAGAAACAGCATCTTCTTATTCTCTTGTTGGCATCTTAATTGTCACTATCACATTTGCTGTAGTTTTTACTCTTCCAGGAGGAAACGATCAAAATTCTGGACTCCCATTATTCATAAAACAACCGAGTTTTAATGTTTTTATACTCTCAACCATAGTATCCCTTGTCGCTTCCTCAACTTCAGTTCTGATGTTTCTGGCCATCCTTACGTCTCCCTTTTCAGAAGAAGCATTCCTCAATTTCTTACCTTCAAAGTTGCTTTTCGGTGTTTCTACACTTCTTATCTCCATGGTGGCTATGATCATCACATTTCTCTCCGCCATTCATCTCACGCTGAAGCACTCAAACTATCATGGGGCTATGCTTCCCATTATTTTATTCACAAGTGTTCCCATCTCTTATTCCCTATTGTCACTAATTCCTGTTATTCGCAATACTGCCTTTTCTGCTTATGGGACTGTCTTTAATAGGAAAGCGGGACTGTTGCAGATATCATTATGACTTGAAATATTATTTGTGCTCTTAGGACTGTTCACAATGTCATTTATTAAATATATGTCTAGAGAATATTTCTTCTGATGAGAAGAAAACAGATGTACAGAGGCTTCATTTCAGCTTGTTGGAAGCCCAAGATAACCCTGTAATAATGAAATAGCATCAGTTCACCTTTCGATATTAGTGTCCTAAGCCTGTAGTTTCAATATAAGCCCGAGGGGCTGAACAGAATGGAATTAAGGACCAAGTTGAGACCCATTTGTTTGTGATTATTTCATTTGCCAGATTGCTTGGAAGGGTAGAGGCGTAAAGTGTAATTACATGTGCGTCAAAAATGACTATGTCTATTATATAACAACACAAAATTAACTAACTAACTTTCTCTTTTTTTTTTTTATCATCCTTCAGCTAACAAAACAAAATCACACTCCCAGCATACTTCTGAAGAGTCGAATACATGACATCAGATTTAAGAAGATATTTGGTGTTAATTCATGAGATAAGAAAGTTTAATCTTCTATATTGATGTACTACTGGAGAAGGGAGTGAGAAATTAAAAAAGAAATAATAATTTATGAAATGCTGCCCCATAAAAATATGGTAAGATCGAACACATTCAGTTGCTGGAATAGAAGCCATAACTCTATTAGGTCCTTGTCCAAACAAGCCCTTAGCATTATGATAATCCTCTGTCAAAAATCATGTGAATGAAGTGATATTAAGCATTTGTAAATATTCATATGATAAGGATATTGGCTAATTTTGTAGTTGAGTTTATGACATAAACAGGTCAACAGCACTGGCTAATATATTTTTTTTCGTTAGAAATTTTTGTCTTTACAAAAATAATCTTATTATAAATATATGTACTGATTCTTCAAATAATGATTGATATTGTCCCAAATAATTAATTTTATTTTATATGCCTAAGGGTTCGTGTTTTATAATAACAAAATGAGACAGATTGCTCTAAAGACTAGCAAAATCTAAAGTGAAAGCTATGACAAACTTCAGGTGGAATATATATTCGGTACTTTATCTTTTTCTCTCCCTCTCTCTCTCTCTCTCTCTTTCCTTTTCTTTCTTTTCTTCTCTCCTTTTCCTTTTTTAAGAAATGTTGGTGACGAGCCCTCTTTTGAATGATCGATATACACCAATATTCAGATACACTATGAAATCTATAATTAAGTTACATTGTTTTGATCAATGACAATGTGATTTTTAATGCAACACTTCAAAAGAAATTCATTAAAATTATTTAATGGCTAAATAAAATTGAAAAAAATTATGGAATATTGATTTTGAGGGTTTAGAAATATTTTGGAAAAGTCACTACTACAAAATGACAAATACTTGACGGTTATTTTGGGTCATATTTGACAGTTGAAAACCATCAAGTATACTGGAGTCATACATTTCAACCACAGATATTTGACGGTTAATAACCGTCAAATATTTCAATAATATTTCATGGTTTTAAATGAAGAAACATCAATTATTATTCAAACAATTGACGGTTTTTTAGAAAAACCGTAAACTATGTGTCTAAATAGTTGACGGTTATTGCTGAAAAACCATCAATTATTTGTATCAATACTTGATGATTTTGGGAACTGTCATGTATGGTTAAAAATACTTGACGGTTATTTCTGAAAAACCGTCAAGTATTATATGAATACTTGACGGTTTTTAAGTAATAATGTCAAGTATTATGGGAATTTTTTTTAATACGTGTTCCGCTGTGCCAGCAGCCCCCCTGCAATTTTGAAACCGAACAAAGGCTCATTCAACAGAACCATGCAGGCCAGCGTTCAAACCAATTCAGCCATATACATCTTAATGAACCAAAAATAATTTACATTATTATATATACATGAACCAAAACCAACTGTGATATTAAAAAAAAACTTGTATTTAAGGCAAGTAATATAAAAATTCTAAACAAGTACAAAAGGTGAACCAATTCCAAAATTAGCCAATTGCTAAAGTTGTGCAATGCCAAAAACTAACCAACAGCAAAATTAACCAAAACCAAAATTGAAACCAAAGCTATACATGCAATGTCTTAATGTACACTTCCCTATCTATTTTGTGCCCACTAACAGAATTAGGCCATTGCCAACTCTTCAACGATTTCTTCCATCTAAGCGGATGAATACACTGTGCAATATGTGTCGGCAAAGTACTGTATGCAACCACAAATTATGACATAAGTTAGATATAAATGTAAAGCTACAGTAAGTACAATTCTTAAATATATAAATTGAACTTTAACAAATGCATATTACCTGCGTAGGGATTGTGTTAGCATTGTGCATAATTATCTCCTTCATAAATTTCATCACGCAATACCCACAATGGGAGCTTTTTTTGGGCTGATGTGGGCACTGTAAAGAATTAGGAAATAGTATTAGTCAATCATATAAATAAACTATATTTAGTAGAATAGTAAATAATGGTAATGAATACCTTCACTTTCTTCCACGAGAAGATATCGTCAAATTGGCCGTTTTTTACCGGGGGGCAGGGTAAGGCTTGATTTGTACGGTATAGCTACAAAGCCCTGAGAAGACAATAAAATTGAATATTAATGTTTGTCAAAAATTAGATTGAAGCAAGAAATTAAATTAAATTTAAATAATAGATATAAATGTTACTTGTTGAACAATGAAACCATAAATGGTCTATTGGTTGGATCCCCATGAAGAGAATCAAGATACCAAATCCTCAGCTTTATGGGATTGACCACAATCAGCATCCAATGTCCTCTAAGTATAAGAAAGACAATTAGAACAATTACAAATTATTTTTTAAATGAAAGAATTTAGAAAAGTTCAATATACTACGTACGTACCCTTGACAGAAAGGGGCGAAAAACAAAGTCTGAGCCCCCGGTGCTGCCCTAGAAATGAAGATATCCAACAAGTCTCTGGATAAGTCTTTCTTCATATCAGGTTCGTGGCCAGCAAAAGTGTGGGGGCTAATAATCTTGAACTTGTTATCAAGGCCATTGGGGGCTATAAAGTTCTTGAAAAGATATCTAAATCAACAAACAAAGATATCAATAAGATAAATGCTCAAGTACTTAAATATTTAGTTAAGGTTTTAACAAATATCTGATATAAAAGTTACAGGCATTTGTGCTGGCCATTCCATGCGTCAGAATTTCTTTTAATACTTCATTCGCAACGTACTCTGACGAGGGTCAACCGTAGACCTCTGGCTCAAACTCTAGGGGAATCATGAAATCCTTGCCATTTTCTAATCTGGCCCTAACTGCATATTCCTCAAGACATATTCGGAATCTTGATGATACCGTTTGAACGGGCTCAGAGGGCTGCTTCTATGGCGATGATAATGAGTGATCACCCAATAGGCTCTTCTTCCCCTTAGACTGACAAACAGACTGTTAATAATTAAAACAAAGTTTATTTTAAATCAACTGAATGTGTAGACCTATACATATATACCTTTGAAGGATGTCCTAATGTAAGAAGACGGCTAGGCCAAGCGACAAAGCTACCCACTGCTTGAGCCACTGTCTTTGCATCTGGGGTAGGCATCGGGAGGGCATAATTCGCATCAATAGCAGTGTTCAACTGCACCCTCACATGATCAGCAGGGAGAGGCACATTATGAATCATACTCTCCCCCGGTAAATTGAACATGTGGCCCGTTGCAACAGTGTGATGTTTAGGGCTATCTGCTATACACTGAATGTCCGCTTCACCCTGATTTAACATGAGAGACAAGTTAGCTAGATATATAAATTATTGAATGTAATTGTATAAACACAAGTATTATACCTCAGGTAGCAAGGGGAATGTGCAGCTGTCTTTGCCACTTGGGCTGAGATTCAGAGTCGGCTGTGGTGCTTGATTTTTGATCAACTACTTGATTAGGAGCGCTTGCGCTTTAACTTGCTCCTTTAACCAGTGTGTTTCTTCCTTCAACTCCATGAACTCAGTAGAGGAAGGCGTGCACGATGAAGAGGGCTTTTGTCAGTACCCGAAGTAATCCCTCTTGGTGACTCCATAACCGACACCCTTAAGAAGACCAGGATGGTCAGGAGTCCCTAATGCCCTCCTCAATATATCCTGGTCATCTGCAGAATATGCCCCCTGTAAAACTTCTTGGGACAAACTCTCATGTGCAACAAACATTGACATAGTTATTCATACTTAAAGATATTTGACAATAACGTAAGGATTATTTAATTTAGAATAATACTCACCATCCTGTCCATGACCTCCTTAACGCGAGGATTATCAATTTGGCCATCTTTATTTTGCCTGGCCAATGCCCACAGCATCTGACGGGATACAGTGACATCTGATCCCTCCTTCTGAGTCACCTCTTGCTCGAGGCCCGCATAACCCAAGTGCCCCTTTCGGTAGGGATATTCATTCTTCTTTACCCTTTCCTTATTTTGGGTACTTAATTCCTGCAAAAACATAGTAGATTCACAATTAAACAATATATAGATTAAACAAAATAGACTATTTAATATTGAAAAGAGTGAGGATTATTATTTGAAATTGACTATCATGACGTGACGTCACAAAAGTAGCCCAATCCTCTGGTTTGACTAGGTCCTATCAAGCTAGGAACCTCGGACTCGTTGGCTGTGGAAGGATCCTTCAAGTATTTGTGTGTCACAAAGTATCGAAAAGAGCACAATGCCCTCCCAGCCTTCCCCTCGATAAACTTCTTCCTGCTCTCATCTATATCAAATGCAAACTACAAAACATATAAAATAACACATTAGTGTCACGCAGCTTGTAAGAAAATGAATACCGATAAATCTATCCAAATAGCGTCTCGCACTGAACGATTAACCCTCCTCCAGTGCTGCGCTGTAATGGGCATGGTGCTTTGTGCCACTACCTCAATATAGCTAATAAATTTATTTAACCGTACAGCTTGTCCTTTCTTATTCCACTGTACGACAAAATTTCTTTCCTCCGTTCGAGCTTTCACGACCTCTTGCATGACACAAAGGCCCC